AACTGAAAGCTGTAAAAAGCTCCCCCTGGCATTTCAATATTTTATTAAATTTGAGGAAATGTGAAAGTAAGAAATTAAAGCAATTACTCGATTGTAGCTCTATTCTCTATTCAACCTATTTACGTTACATTTTAATAGCCTTTGCATATCAGCTCCCAAAGTTACCTTTAAGCTGTAAATATTCTTGTTTACGCCAGAAAGAAATACGTTAAGAGCTTTTTGTAAGATCAATTGCATTTAAAGCTCACTGTTAGCTTTCAACATTTTGCCCCAAGCTCGACTTCTTCAGCTTTTATCTCAAGTCTCCACTATCCGATTTCAACACATCTATTTATGACTTTTAACTTTAACATCTGCAATCTGTACCTAATGTAAAACACTTCAGTCACACACAGGCATAAACAGACACATATATTCGCATCAGACCTCTAGAAAGCATAGCAGACTGTAAATGTTTATAGATTCTAAACAGTTAATGGTTTTCAAAGTGTTTCGTGTTGTGTTTACTCTTCGACAAGGACTTCTTATCTAAGACCCATTAAATTTATGTGCCGCATTGTGCACCAAATGTGGTTCTGAGTTATATCGCCGTCTCCGATACAGATCCAGGTAAATTTATATACACACACATATATATATATATATATATATATATAAAACATGCGCTGAGCGTCCAGCAAATAAAAAAAATTTTTAGCGCGTGTGGGGAAAAAAAAACGAAAGGCAACGAGCAGCTGTTGCGTGTATAGCTGACAATTAAATACTCTGCCCGAGAGCAAAAATAAGGGTGCATTTTTAATGCGGATTGCAGAGGTCTTCATGTGAGAGCTATGACATTTAATCTTTCTGGGGAGGTGCGTCTCAAGCAAGACCCAAAAAAGGGTTTGAACTTAGGCGGTTCAAAGCTTTTTTTATATATATATCAAACCTTTAATAGTTGCCCAAATAACAACGAAACAGAACCCCAAATTAAACTATTTGTTCTTAATTGCATTTTTGTTTGAAAATAACAAACTTTTATCATTGCATTTATTAAACTATAATTAATAAATGACAATAGACTTCAAATGTAGCCCGCTAATTCTATAAGAAAATATGTACGATATGCTATATTTTCAGTAGAACGGGCAATTGCATATTTCGAATTAAATTCTTTCATTAACATTTAAAGAGTAGTTCTTTGAAACTGAAAGCAGAGGTGGGTTTGAGCCAGCGACCTCCCTTTTCGTGGCGTTTACAGCTCTGTTATCAAATCCTTACTCAACAAATTACCTTTTGGTATTCAAAAACTACTTATTATTATTTAAAGCCAGTTGTATTAGTTTTTAACTCATATCATTCAACTGCAGGTGCATTTAAAGCACGTCAGCTTAAGCCACGCCCCACACGCCTCCATGAAAGTGAACCATTTAAAAGTAAATTGTATTCACGCCTTTCTACTTTTCGGCAGGTAGCCAAAAAGTTTGTTATGCTCGCGTTGCAAGCTGCATGACAAATGTTAAGTGCCTTGCCCCCGAAAAGCAAGGGCATAAACATTAACAAGAGAAAGAAATATTTAACTTAATTGCCATGCACAAAAATGCGTGAGGTGGCAAACGGCAGGCGTGCCCCCAGCCCGCCTACCGCCCGCCGCCCACAAGCCTGGCAGTCATAAAGGGGTGTTATATTTGTTGTTGTTGTTGCTGTTGTTGTTGCTGTTGCTACAGGCGTATTTGTGGGCTTGCTTGTGGTTGTTGGCTCCGGCTACCCGTCTCCGTCGCCGTCTCCGGCTCCGGGTCTGCTTTGGGCGTGCGTGCGCCCTGCGATATAATTTATGTTTCAATAACTTTCGAAACTCATTGAAAAGTCGCTTATGTTTGCTTCAATGGTGGCAGGCAACAACAGCAGCAGCAGCAGCAACAACAACAACAATGCTCATGAGAAGAATGTTAAAAGTACAACAATAAATTGTTTGGATTTACTTATAGTACTGAGCGGTGGGTGGAAGGAGGGAGGTGGGGAGGGGACGTACGCGCTCGCTTCTACAGCTGCCATTTGCCATTTTACTCAATTTTTATTGTTGTTGCACTTCAGCGACCCGCTTTGTCTCTGCTGGCGCAACAACAACAACAACAACAGAAACTCGCTTAAGTTGCAAAAGTTTTGCTATTTTTTGTACACAATTTTACCCAACCACGCCCCCACCCAACCCCCTGAACCCAAGCGATCTAATGCTTTGCTGAATGTGTTTTGTTTGCCATTTGCTTTGGTTCTGTGCGCTCCTTTTTTTCCTGTTTGTTATTTATTCTATTTTTTATTTTGTATTTTTTTTTTCCTTTGGTTTTCTGTTGTTTTTTGCTGCTTTCATTTTGTGCTTTTAAATTTATTTGCAAGTTTTCTAATTTGTACTTCACTCCATTTTATTGTAATATACAATCTCATTTGCACAAGGCACGAGAGCTGTGTGTGGGGCATGTATCTCAATCTATCTGGCTGGTTGAAGTATCTAAACCAGCAACAGGCAACAGGGAGAGAGAGAGAGGAGTGGAGGGGGGCATTTCGCCTACGCGCATGCAATGCTTTCTTTGCCAGCGGTAAAATGTCTGCCCTGGTGCGCATATTTATTAACCGCACTGTTGACTCTCGCTGCGGCGCCACCAGCAACAACAACAAGAACGGAAACAACAACAAGTTTGTGTGCAGCTTGTTGCTGCTGCTGTTGGTCTCAGTTTGAATTTTGTCGTCGCACCTTTTCAGGAATTCTGTTTACATTTATTACTTTGCGCAAGTTTAAGTGAAAAATTTCCATAAACATTCTTTTAAGCGACATAAAGTTTTTATTAAATTTTGCTAGAAATCCCCGACACGATGATATCAGCAGCGACATCAACGACAACGACAACGACAACGGCAACGGCAACAAATAGAGCTGTGGAATTTACAACTACCAGGGCCTTAGATTTTCAACGACCCGCTGATGTTGGCGCTGGCTTCGGCTCTGCCTTATTGTCCCAGGCGCAGGTCCCTGCTGCTGCCTGCTGTTAAGACAGCAGCCTGCCTGTTGGAATCAGTGGAGTTGTTACTGTTGTCGCTGCTGCTGCTGCACGCAGTTCATAAAAATTTTGCCAGCCAACGTGACATGCACAAAGGCAAAGGACACGTGGCAGCAGCAGCAGCAGCAGGACTCTCTGTAGAATGTGGCATAAAGTTTGCCCAGCAGCGTGGCGCTTGTTAACCTGAGCCGTCGTCTGTCTGCGACCCCTTTCAGCCCACTTTCACAGCACATTAGACGAAATTCAATTAAAACAAGGATATATTTCGCAATTTGGCATACCAGTGTGTCAGTTCTTTAGCGTGAGGTAAGAAGAATGCGCTTAACTTTTGGCACGCGCTACGCGAAGCGTGTGCTAACATTGCGCATACGCCGCGTGGGCAGCGATAAAATTAATTTGACTGGCAGACGCACACCCACACACACTCACAGACACACACACACACGTATTAAGTTACGCGCTAGTTTATAAGCTGTCAATTTTGTTGCTTCTGATGTTGCAGCTGATTATCGCAGCTCAAATTCAATTGCAATTGACTCATTAAATGCCACTCATTATTCAGCCCGTCCGCAGAAACCAGCTAATTTACGTTAAGCATTTTTGAATAAGCTCAAAAAATGGCAGCAGGCGAGGCTCGGACGGGAGTTGAAGTGTGGCTGTGGTGCAGGTGGTTGATGCAGCCAGCCAAAAGCTGATCGAAACCGCAACAAATGACAAACGATTCGAATAAACACACAGCACACGCACAACAACAGGAGGAAGGGAGTGCGGGGGTAGGTTTTGGAAAAGAGGAAAAACAGCACACACATATATCATGTGGAATGTAAAGCAGGCAAAAAAAAAAAATATAACAACAAGAAGGAAAATCAATGAAAATGAAAACCAATTAGCGGTTAACCAAACTGTTCAAATTTGGAAATGGATGCAGTCGCGCATGGCCATAAACAACAACAACAACAACAACCATAACAACAACAAGAGCAGCAGCTATTGAAATTGTAGTAGAAAGAGCGCAGCCCTAACAAGCGTCAATAACAGAGCTGGAAAGGTAAACGCGGTCACCGAGATTTACCAGAATAATAATCAAAGTCTGGTCAGAGCCAAACGCCTGCCATGAAAACAATTACAAAAGAGTTTCAATATATGATTTTAATTTGAAAATGCGGGCATAGAAATCGATCCGACCTGCTAAAATTGTTAGCCACAAGTTAGCTAATGGCTAATTGTTGCCAGATATGTCTTGACCTGACTTTGTTCCCAAATTCTGTTTCTGCATGTATTATTTCCAATTGTAATTAATCAAGCTAACAGGCAATGGGAAAGTCTATTGTATATGGAAATGGCAGGTACTTCATAAATATATGAGTTTATGAACATGTTTTGGTTCAAGTTAAGGTTCGAGCTGTGCAAAAATAATGAAATTTCGACTTCCAGGCGATTCGATAGAGACTCGGTTTGCAGTCTTACCAGGAATTAACATCTACTTTGCATCTACTTTGTCTCTATCAGTCCCAGCTAAATTCATTTAGTACACATGATTTATATTATAATATATTATACCCTGTACCCATTGAAATCGAGTAAAGATAGTAATTTAAAAAGAAGGGTCATATCCAGACCTATGTATGTTATATTGTCGAGACAATGCAAATCAATTGGGAAAGCAAATTCTCGAATGTGCGTTTGTATCTTCTAATGTGAAAATTAGTTGTTTCACAATATTTTCAGTTCACTTGAGTTCTTTTTAATTTCATATTTTCGGGTTAAACTTGAAAAAGCTATTATCCGAAGAGAACTATATACGAATTTCTTGCTTTTTTTTTTAGAAAGTCAGCCGAAAGCCCCCAAATAATGCTCTTTGCTTGTATTTTACTGAACGCATTTGCTGTAACCTTCAAGTTAGGCATATCACTTAACGGTTCGAGCCACAGTGCCTTTTAATCAGATTACTTTATTTAAATAACTCACCTGGATCTGCGGGTTGTGGGATCCTTCATGACCATAGCCTCAGAGATGTCGCCGTAGCGGCCAAAATAATCGCGTAAGCTCTCTGCAAATACAAACAGGTTGAAAGCAGAAGAAGAATAGAGAAAATGAAACAAGTGTATGGTAAATAATCAATAAGCGAATGTTTATGAAATGTCAGGGAGCAGTCATCAAAAAAATATATATACATACACATATATAAATGTTTGACGAAATCACCGCCAGGCGAAATTTACTAATTTTTGTGTTACGGTCTTCATAAAAATTCGCGCGCGCGTTCGTTGCCGTCATAAATAAATGACGTCGTGCCACAAACACAAGCACACACACACACACACAAGCTGTGTACCCTGCAATAAAGCCCCAAACACCAACTCGCAGCGCCGCCCAACTCCAAAGCCAATTGCTGGACATTATTCACATGCACACGCTTCAAGGCTCAGCAAAAACCAACAGAGAGGAAAAAAAAAACACACACACACACACACACACACACAACCAAAAATCCATGCCATGCCGCCTCTTTGGCACTTGCAGAGCCCACCACCCCCAGAGCCCGGCGAGGAGCCCAACCCAAGCCCCAAACTGGGCTGCTGCTACGGCAGCTGTTGTCTGCGGTTTTGCCAAGCTAATCTGGCAGCCAGCGAGCGCACTTCAGTGGCACGTACGCACACGAACGCAAAACTGAAGTTATTTCAACAAAATTGCCAGACAAACAGCGAGTCTGTCAAGGGCGTGCAGGGTGGGGGGGTACGCCGTTGATGGGCCCAGCTAACAGTTTGGCTGCGATTTAATGCAGCAAAAAGCCGATAAAGTCATCTGCGCCAAGCTGGCAAAGAAACCCTAATCCAGTCCGACTGGCTGCTACCATTGGGCCGCAGCAGCAGCAGCAGCGGCGGTCGCGTCATAAATTCAAACTACAATAAAAATTCAATAAAACAAACGATTTTTTGCCGCACACACACAAACACGCAGCAGCAGCAGCAGTGGCAGCAGCAGCAACTAGTTGCGCTTGTGGCAGCAACAGCAATGTTGTCAGCGGTTCGCGTCGTAAGGCAGAGAGAGGGTGGGGGTGGGGGTAGCGTGGGGTGGCATGCAACGCAAAACAAGTCGAAATGCGTCGCGTGATTTACATAAGTATGCACAATAATTATGAACAATAAAAAACAATTTGTTTGCTTATGACAGTTTCGTTGGCCATAAATAACAGCGGCAACTGGCTGGCAGCATGCCGTGGGCCAGGGGGCAGAGAGTGCTGCTGCACTGCCGGCATCCTTGCTATGCGTGTGTGGCATGTAAATTGATGGCGCACACACACACATGCACACACATGCACACACATGCACACATGTACATGCACAGCTCTGTACAACGGGTCGTATGTGTAATGCGCGCGCCCTACGTGGCATGCTACACTTTAAGTTTTAATGGGGCGGCTCGGTCGACATTTGAAATTGAATGACCTGCCAATTAGCTGCAGGTGTACACAACATTTCAAATAAACTTTCTATAAAGTAGCAAAAAGTCAAGCGTGCCTTTGAGTTAAGCTTTATTTATGAGTTGTCGCCCCGCTAAATGGCAATTGCAATTGCGCTGCAGCTCACCTCCGATTTGCCACACTTTGTGGCAGTACTTAAACACACACTGTGTGTGCATAGATGCCACTGGAAATACACGAATTTGAGGCGTACATTCCATAGTTTGTTGAGGCCTTTCGAATTTATGAACTTGCGAATATGTAAAGCTCAAGAAATGTTGAAGAAACTAAAACTTTCACAACTCTTTGACAAAAGTAACTCAACAGTTGCATAATTATTCATTTGACAAGATTTATATCAATTAGATATCAGAATTGATGCAAATTATTCAACAAATTGTTCGTTTATCGTTGCATTTTGATTTAATTGGTATTTGGAAAAACTCCAGATCTTTGCTAAACAGAAAATGCACAAATCTTTATTTAGCTGAATTGCGCTTCGGGGTTTACTAAATACAAAAATGAAACAGAATATTGTTTTAATTGATATTTTCCACAAAATTTGGCTGCACATCGGCAACCGGCTTCAGGGCAAATATTTTACATGTCTGACGTGTATTTTACGTGGAGATTTAAACAAAATTGTGTTTCATTTCGGTTTTGAACAAGCCCCGGACATCGCGAAGCAGCTGAAAAGAGATTTTTAAAATCGAAAGGTCGCCAAAACCAGCATTTAAAATGAAAAGAAATATTATCACAAATACTATAAATATAAAAATGAATAATTAATATATAATATATAGTAATAATTCAGTTTTTAATAAAACTTAATCAAACACTTCTTTGGACCTGAAAAACAACCTGAACTATGCTTGAAATGCATTAAAGCCTTACAAACACAAACAATATCAAGGCTCTGCTTGCCCACATGCATTTATTGGACTAGCTCAGGACTATTTAGTGTTAATTAAGTTAGTGTTAATTCAGTTTTACGTCAAATTTTGCGTTTGAACAGTTAAAAAACAATTTCATATCGATTGCAAATAACTTAATAATTTGCTCAGAATGTAATTCAACTATTTTCTCTATCAAAACACAACAACTGCGTTTTTTCACTTACTAAAAGCAAGTTAGGATCTTCTGCAACTTCTTTTTAGCATCGACCACTTGTGGGCAACTGTTTTTAAGAAAGTTCCCACTTACATTGTACTTATATCCAGTGCAAACATATGTCATCTATATCCGTATCGCCCACGAACATGAAAATCGTGTATCCACAAACAGCATCGTTTGTCGCCATTTGCCCTTTCTCTCCCTGCATCCTGCTTCTTCGCCCACTCTCTTTCTTTTACTCGCTTGCAGTGTGTGCAGAGCTCATAACTCAATCAACTGCCCGAAATTAACTGTCCGTCAACCTTTCATTTACCTTTCTAACCCACTTTGTCCCCGCTGTTGTTGTTGTTGTTGTTGTTGCTGCTGCTGCTTTTGTAGCTGGCATTGCGAACTATTCGTTTCATAAAGCGACGACCATTTCGCATACCCAAATACCTTTCCGCCCAATTAACTACTTCACATTTCTCTCAGTGCACAGCGCCAACGCAGCCCCTGCCACAGTCATCCCGCCCCACAACACCCCCCACCCACCACCCCCTTGGCACTTGGCATGTCCATTGCATCGCTTTGTTCGCTGTCGGCCGCTGCGACGCTCATTTTTGAGTGACAGCTGCAAAGTTTGTTTTGCATTTCATATTTGCGCGCTCTCCTCCCCCCCCCCCCCCCCCCCCCCCCTCTCAGCCTCTCTAGTCGCGCGTGTGTGTGTGTGTGTGTGTGTGTGTTCAGCGACAACTGTCACTTGACCGGCTGTCAGCGTTGCCCACAGCCGACCCCCCCCCGGGGCCACCCGCATCAGGGCCAATAGAAGAGCTAGCAAACAAAATAAATGCGCACATGCATAAAGTGTAAATGCGAATAAAAACACAGAAAATCATAATAAAAGAAAAAAACGGAAATTAATGCGGTCTTAGGCGCAAATTAAATACCCTTCCAGACATATGGTTTATGACTTTGCGTACAGCTGGGGAGAATAGTAAAGCTCATTACTGCTGAGTTTGGTTGAGAATTCTAGAGAAACTACAAAGTTTTTCAAATTAAGACTTATTTTTCTAGCGATTTCCTGTTTGGATATATTTTATATAGTTTTTCGATGTTATCAAGGAGCATAAAAATAAAATAATGTTCATCTTAGTTAATTGTTGAAGGATTATCTGAAACCTATATGACATATATATGATTTATTGCTCCGATCGGGGTTCATTATGGCATATATATACTGCGAATAAAAGTAATTCGAACCTATGCACTTAGGATGGCTTCAAAAAAGAGAGACACGACTTTCAATGAAAATCGCGAATATATATAGCCCAAATGGTGTCAAAGATATCTTCTTCTATTCATTACAAACTGCACGACAAAACTAGACTACCCCAACGCTACAAGGGCATACGAAAAAATACTTATACAAACGAAGGATGGCAAAAAAAGTGGACAACAAATTAAAACGCGGCAAAATAAAATTAAAATTTATTTGCTACAGTAACAAAAATAAGAATAAAAAAAAAAAAAACGCAGCCGATGTATATAAAATAGGAGAGCGAGAGCGAAATTGTGGGCGGGGCAACAAAGTGGCAACAACGACAACAAAATATATTGTTGTAACGAAGGCAGAAGCCAAACTTGGATTTAATTAAAATGTTTACCACAGTCATTTCATTTTCATAGCCAGCAAACATAAATTTTGAAACGCACAGCCACAGCAACAGCAGCAACAACAACAGCGCTGGCAACCACAAAGCGAAACAGCTGCAAGAAAATGCCCCAAAAAACCATTAAACTTGGCCCAACACACAACACACACTCGCACACACACACACACATACTAGCTGTATATAAATACCGTTATAGAGCCAACTCTCAATTTGGCCAATTTTGATTGTTGCATTTCGTAAGCAAAATTTGCCTGCCAACAAAAATAAAATAAATTTGCAGGTAATTAGTTCAAGCAGCTACCAGACACACACACGCACTTACACACACTCACACACACACACACACCCGCGTCCACATGCTTAATGTCAGCATTTATACCAAATCCATTTAGTAAAATTATTTATAAGAAAAGTCAACTCTAGTCAAGCTGCCCGCCACTTCCCGCTCCACAGTTCAAACCCTAGGCAAATCCAAATCCAAATCCGAAACCCGTTTGCGGTTGCAGGCATATTAACCCCTTAACGTTACAACATAACCCGCTCACCCAACCCTTCAACCCCCCTCACCATCTCACATGGTTGTATGTCAAAAGCACAATGCTGAAACCATAAATTTATGTGCTTTCTATTGTTTTTGCCAAAGAAAGCGGAAGTTGTGTGTTTTCTGTGGCAGAGCTAAGCTAGCTGCAGCAACAACAACAACTATAGCTGTAACAACAACAACAACAAAAGAAAGCAAAGCCATGGAGAAAAAGGTGTGCGCTTAGGGATTTCAATCAATTGTGAACCCAGGCACAGGCAGCAACAACAAAAAAACTAGAC